ATTATTGTATCATATAACTCAGGATTTATCAAGTGAATTTTTTGCAAAACACAACGAGGAATTCCAATTTCATGTACTTCTTGACCATCCGAAACAAAAGCCTTGTGATTATCCCAGTCAAGACCGAAGTAATCAGAACCAATGCCGGGACGAAGAGACATACGATTGAAGGGAGGAACACGACCTTTATAGAACAAACTGGAATCGTCAGAAAGAAACTGCTTTTTGAGAATATAGCGACCAACATAACAGAAAGTAGAGTAATTCGCGACAGCATACCGAACAGCGCCGAGGCTCCAAATAGAATCCAGCGTGGGACTTTCATAAAGAGGATCGCCAGTACGAGAGGACGAGCTATAAACAAAAGAATCGGGAAAATCAGAAAGCGTTGCACCAAAAATTATAGCATGGTAATGAGGGCGAAAAGTTGTAGTTCCATACTCACCAGCAAGGTAAAAGCGGATTTTGAGACCCAAACCATCATAGTATTTACGAAGCCGCTTCATGAACAAAGACGGATCACGCTTATCGAGAGTATAGCGATACGTATGGTCAGTACACATGACGGAATGAATATGAGCGTCATCATAAGTCAAAGTGAGGAACAAAGCGGACTTACTGCGGATACCTTCACGAGCAGAAGCATATTCAAGGAGCATTCTTTCAGCCCAGTAACGCGAACGATCAAGGCGACAACCTTCACATTTACCGCAGGGTACAGGTAGGAGCTGAGCGTCATCAACACCGGAATAAGCATCCAACTTTCCTTGAGACAATTTACCAACGAAGCGTGAAAACTCACCACGAACCATAAGAACTCCGTTAGGATGATAGCAAGACATTTATAAACCTCCTTTTCAAACGGTGTCACCTAGCGCATATACTATCAAGGCACGTATATGCGCTAGGAACCTCCCCCCATACGGGGGGACATTTCACGATCCTGAAAACGCCATTTTCGCGGACAGTGTCCGCAGGTCATGGACTGACAAATTTATCAATCATGTTGCCAATGGCACCACCGATCATCTGGCCGGCCTTAGTCGTACCATAAGAACGACCGAAAATACCACCAAAGACAGCGCCAATATTGGAAAGAGCCTGATAGTATTTGTGAGCATTGGCAGCGGAAGAAACGCCAGTGGACACAGTACCATCACCAGCAACACGGGCACCATAAACACCGGAGCCGCCGCCGAGACCTTGGGCGGCGAGAATAGGATTGAGGCCAGCAGACTGCAAATCCTTGACTGCACGCTGATACGTGGTATTGGCAAGAGCTTCCTGATAGGCTGTCGCAGTATCCATACCATACTGCTGGGCAATATCAGCATTGACATACGACTGAGCAGGAACAGGGGTACCACCATCAGACGGCACAGCAGCAACGGGCGAAAAAGAGCCAGAGCCAGAACCGGAAGACGGCGGAACAGTACCTTCCAGACCAAGAAAACCTTTGACAGTAGGCTCCTGGGAAAGCTGCTCACCAGCTTGCTTTGCAGACCAAATAGCGCCGTTAACCTTAGATTGTGCGGTATCGACCAAATCAGAAACAGGTGCAGCCAAAGAACCAAGTACACCAGAAGGCTTACCAGTAACCTTACCAGAAGGAGAAACACCTGCCGCATCATAGGTAGCCTGCCGAAGGGTATCAGCAAACTTTGTATTATTCAACCAGTGGTTGAAAGTCTGAGAGCCAGTCGAATAAAACTTACCAGAGCTACCAACTGCAAAACCATTATCATGTGTAGTACGATTAAGATTATCAAACAAACCCATATAAACCTCCATATGGACAAATGTCCATTTCCGCGCAGATCGGCAAATGCTACGACTGCGCGGTAAACATTATTAAAGTGTAACAAAAAAAACAAAAAAAGTAAAAGGGGGATAAGTTTAGCACTCAAGCGCCGTGCAGGCTTTCAGGACGCGGGGTGCGGCGCTCGGTAGAAGGGCGCACTCCACATGGTTTACCACAATCGCGTTGCTCATGTGGAAAACCCGTGGAGAGCTTGGGCAAAATGAACAACATTACACCACGTAAACCTATGATATAGAGAGAAAATTATATATTTTGTATAAATGCCTCTGTGAGGCTCTCAGAGGGCGCAGGAGCGGCGAAAATGAAGGGGGTCATACTGTATGACCCCCAAAAAATGAATTTTTACTTGCAAACGTTTTATAGTTTTTGTCCGTGGGTCATGGACTTGCAAGTTTTCTTGCAGGTAGCATCAGAACTGACCAACCATGCCGGGAACGGAATACATAGGCATGACGCGAGACCAACGAGCACTGAAATAGAAATCAGCAAACAGCTGATTGGAAACAGAAGAGGTCACAGCGAGGGCACGGTCTACGTTGCGCTTATCTTCACGAATCCAGCCATCAGACAGATAGGGAGCCGAATCATAATTATCGGCAAGCGTCCAGTGAGAAAGATTGCCAGACACATCCGCGCGAAGCTCACCGGATACGCGATTGTGACCGACACGGTACTGAACCCACGCTTCGTTGTAGCCGAAGATAGAGGTAGCATCATCACCTTTAGCGTAGATTTCATAACGGTAAATGGGCTGTTCACCAATACGGGCAAACATGGGGTTATAATAATCAAACTTGTGCTTGCGTGTCCACATACGGTCAAGCCCTTGTCCATAAATGTGATCGTAGCGAGCAACACAGACGCCGATTACGTAGCCGTTTTCGGTAAAAGATTTAGTAAAGGAGCTGGAACGATTGGAGGTAACAGACTGTGCACCAACATCACCAAGGAAGTCAACGTCAGTCTGAGCGGTATTAGTAACCTCGTGGACATTGATAGCAATACGGTTACCGCCGAGATATTCGGGATGCTGCACGCGACTATCAGGATTAGTAACACCAAAGAACTGCTGAATCTGCTCTTCCAGTCGGGAACCAGAGCGCGCCAAAGCTTCGTAGTACATCTGCGTAACAGTAGCAAGTCGCAGAGCAGAAATATCAATACCTGCAAACGGAGTACCAGACGCGGAAGTAGTACCAGCCCAAAGGTTGGCAGGATAAAGACGACGATTGACAGGAGTAGAAATAGCAGGGGGGAAATTACCAGAAGTCCAGGAACCGAGGTCAGAACCTACAATAACATCACTGTAGGAACTCTGCGCAGTACCCAAATGCAAATCATAGATGTTAGTACGTTCAGAAGAGCGATCACCAGTATTGAAAGCCATATAATTCTGATCATAAGGAGCGTTAGCAGAACGGAAAGTATGCAATTTACCAGCAAAAACAGGAAGGTCGCCAACAATAGGAACACGCACGTTGGGGCCTTTCTGCGGCGCGGGCAGACAGGAACTGAACATATCATGGAAACGGGAAGCCTTAAAAGGTTTACCACCTTTAACAACATCAGTCAAGTAATTATCGCCATTGCTCCCAATAGTAGCCTGATCAGTAACAGGGATATTCAAAGGATCAGTCAAATTCTGGTCACGGAAAAATTCGTTGCAAATCATCGCATAGGCGCGCAGAGGCAAAGAGATAGGAGCGCGGTCATCCGTAGCAGTAAGGTTAATACCAAGGGGCAAACCCATATAGTCCGCAATGGTGCCTTTCTGCCAACCACCGGTAGGGGGAATAGTAACGGGAACGGTATACTCAACAGTCTGAGCCCATGCAGATTGTGTGTTCTCACCCATGAACTCCTTCCAGTGTGTCCAAGTAAGCCGGGAAGGAACAAAGAAGAAGTAAGTATCCAGATACATATTGCTGTAAACAGGTGCAAGCATAGTCTGAAGCCGGGCAACCATAGCAGTATCGAGGGTAAGGGTATCACCGGGAAGAACTTCCTCAACCATAATCGGGATAAGATCACCAAAGTCAAAAGAAGTAGTATGACTGTAAGAACGGTCAAAAGTACTACGCTGATGATTCATAGAAGGAACAGTCGAGAAATGCGTATAGCTATTACGATTCATTCTTTAACCTCCTTATCAGGAACAGGGGTAGGGGTAACAGTCTCCGCAGGCGCAACAGAACGGGTCATTTTCTGAGCCCAATCAGGAGAACCAGCAGAACCAAACCACTTTGTAAAGTCGTTGTCAAACTGTGCGCGGATATCGTCAGACAGATGATCGAAGTAAGCACGGGCATCAATGATAGAATTGAGCATCTCAGCATGATTCTGAGGAAGACCAGTAAAATCGCCATAGAAGGGGTCGGAAACCATAAGGGGGGAAGCATCACCAGCAACCAGACGGGACAGGATGAAAGCCATATCAGTAAACTCTGCCCAACTATCAATGAGCTCTTGAGTATCCTGTTTGCCAGTCTCAACGAGAACAATCTCACCATTCTCATACGAAGGACTGTAGATTATACGGATACGAGAACCGGGCTCAGTGCCATAGCAAACAGCTTCCCGAATTTTAGAAAGTTTGGAACCAGAACGCATTATAAAAACCTCCTTTGCCCCTCCTATAAGGAGGGGCATAAACTCACTTGTAAAGATTGAGAGCATCAGAACCGGAAATAACCAGCTTCGGGGGATTCACAGGAGTAACAACACCGGAATCGGGATCAAACGTAGCAACATGGTACAGGTCATAGTCACCAGCCGCGAAGGACAAACCGGGGTTCGACATACCATAAGCGAAATTGCGACATGCAGTAGAATCATTGGAATCGGTGAGCGGAGCACCAAAACCATTGTACTTATCACGCATAGAGTAAAGATTCATCATTTATCAATTACCTCCATAAATAAACCTTGTAACAGTTGTTTGAGTAATGCGGGATTGTGACGACAAACAGGATAATGTTTGCAGGACTGGTAACAACGTTGAAAATCAGGACTACAGGGATAAAAACGGATTAAAGCTTTCAGTCGGGGTCTTGACATTGATAAAATCGAAAGCCTCAGTCAGGGTCTTGAAAGATCCCAACTCAAAATCATTCCAGTCGTAGCAAGAAATATCCTTGAAAGAACCGCAATCGTATCCATCTTCATCAATTACGCGACCTTTGGAAAGGACAACATAACCTCTCCGAAATTCATAAGTTTTACTAGTAGTAGTGTAAACACCCATAATACACACACCTTTCAGATTAGATTTAGAAGCGGACGCCTCCGCGATGGAGGACAGCGTGGATGTTGACCGCTTTCGTTTTGGCGGCAGTCTGTCTAAAAACTTTACGGTCAAGCCGGGGACGAACGTAAGAACGTTTCATAACAACCTCCTTTCAAACAGTATCACAATGGTGAAAGTTACGCATTCGGGAAACATAGACCTCTTCCTGCTGCCGTAGGTAATCCATGTACGAAAGATCAGTTTGCGATTGAATATACTCCATACGACCTGCTGCTAGCTTCCTCCTCGTTGTCATTATTGTATCATATAACTCAGGATTTATCAAGTGAATTTTTTGCAAAACACAACGAGGAATTCCAATTTCATGTACTTCTTGACCATCCGAAACAAAAGCCTTGTGATTATCCCAGTCAAGACCGAAGTAATCAGAACCAATGCCGGGACGAAGAGACATACGATTGAAGGGAGGAACACGACCTTTATAGAACAAACTGGAATCGTCAGAAAGAAACTGCTTTTTGAGAATATAGCGACCAACATAACAGAAAGTAGAGTAATTCGCGACAGCATACCGAACAGCGCCGAGGCTCCAAATAGAATCCAGCGTGGGACTTTCATAAAGAGGATCGCCAGTACGAGAGGACGAGCTATAAACAAAAGAATCGGGAAAATCAGAAAGCGTTGCACCAAAAATTATAGCATGGTAATGAGGGCGAAAAGTTGTAGTTCCATACTCACCAGCAAGGTAAAAGCGGATTTTGAGACCCAAACCATCATAGTATTTACGAAGCCGCTTCATGAACAAAGACGGATCACGCTTATCGAGAGTATAGCGATACGTATGGTCAGTACACATGACGGAATGAATATGAGCGTCATCATAAGTCAAAGTGAGGAACAAAGCGGACTTACTGCGGATACCTTCACGAGCAGAAGCATATTCAAGGAGCATTCTTTCAGCCCAGTAACGCGAACGATCAAGGCGACAACCTTCACATTTACCGCAGGGTACAGGTAGGAGCTGAGCGTCATCAACACCGGAATAAGCATCCAACTTTCCTTGAGACAATTTACCAACGAAGCGTGAAAACTCACCACGAACCATAAGAACTCCGTTAGGATGATAGCAAGACATTTATAAACCTCCTTTTCAAACGGTGTCACCTAGCGCATATACTATCAAGGCACGTATATGCGCTAGGAACCTCCCCCCATACGGGGGGACATTTCACGATCCTGAAAACGCCATTTTCGCGGACAGTGTCCGCAGGTCATGGACTGACAAATTTATCAATCATGTTGCCAATGGCACCACCGATCATCTGGCCGGCCTTAGTCGTACCATAAGAACGACCGAAAATACCACCAAAGACAGCGCCAATATTGGAAAGAGCCTGATAGTATTTGTGAGCATTGGCAGCGGAAGAAACGCCAGTGGACACAGTACCATCACCAGCAACACGGGCACCATAAACACCGGAGCCGCCGCCGAGACCTTGGGCGGCGAGAATAGGATTGAGGCCAGCAGACTGCAAATCCTTGACTGCACGCTGATACGTGGTATTGGCAAGAGCTTCCTGATAGGCTGTCGCAGTATCCATACCATACTGCTGGGCAATATCAGCATTGACATACGACTGAGCAGGAACAGGGGTACCACCATCAGACGGCACAGCAGCAACGGGCGAAAAAGAGCCAGAGCCAGAACCGGAAGACGGCGGAACAGTACCTTCCAGACCAAGAAAACCTTTGACAGTAGGCTCCTGGGAAAGCTGCTCACCAGCTTGCTTTGCAGACCAAATAGCGCCGTTAACCTTAGATTGTGCGGTATCGACCAAATCAGAAACAGGTGCAGCCAAAGAACCAAGTACACCAGAAGGCTTACCAGTAACCTTACCAGAAGGAGAAACACCTGCCGCATCATAGGTAGCCTGCCGAAGGGTATCAGCAAACTTTGTATTATTCAACCAGTGGTTGAAAGTCTGAGAGCCAGTCGAATAAAACTTACCAGAGCTACCAACTGCAAAACCATTATCATGTGTAGTACGATTAAGATTATCAAACAAACCCATATAAACCTCCATATGGACAAATGTCCATTTCCGCGCAGATCGGCAAATGCTACGACTGCGCGGTAAACATTATTAAAGTGTAACAAAAAAAACAAAAAAAGTAAAAGGGGGATAAGTTTAGCACTCAAGCGCCGTGCAGGCTTTCAGGACGCGGGGTGCGGCGCTCGGTAGAAGGGCGCACTCCACATGGTTTACCACAATCGCGTTGCTCATGTGGAAAACCCGTGGAGAGCTTGGGCAAAATGAACAACATTACACCACGTAAACCTATGATATAGAGAGAAAATTATATATTTTGTATAAATGCCTCTGTGAGGCTCTCAGAGGGCGCAGGAGCGGCGAAAATGAAGGGGGTCATACTGTATGACCCCCAAAAAATGAATTTTTACTTGCAAACGTTTTATAGTTTTTGTCCGTGGGTCATGGACTTGCAAGTTTTCTTGCAGGTAGCATCAGAACTGACCAACCATGCCGGGAACGGAATACATAGGCATGACGCGAGACCAACGAGCACTGAAATAGAAATCAGCAAACAGCTGATTGGAAACAGAAGAGGTCACAGCGAGGGCACGGTCTACGTTGCGCTTATCTTCACGAATCCAGCCATCAGACAGATAGGGAGCCGAATCATAATTATCGGCAAGCGTCCAGTGAGAAAGATTGCCAGACACATCCGCGCGAAGCTCACCGGATACGCGATTGTGACCGACACGGTACTGAACCCACGCTTCGTTGTAGCCGAAGATAGAGGTAGCATCATCACCTTTAGCGTAGATTTCATAACGGTAAATGGGCTGTTCACCAATACGGGCAAACATGGGGTTATAATAATCAAACTTGTGCTTGCGTGTCCACATACGGTCAAGCCCTTGTCCATAAATGTGATCGTAGCGAGCAACACAGACGCCGATTACGTAGCCGTTTTCGGTAAAAGATTTAGTAAAGGAGCTGGAACGATTGGAGGTAACAGACTGTGCACCAACATCACCAAGGAAGTCAACGTCAGTCTGAGCGGTATTAGTAACCTCGTGGACATTGATAGCAATACGGTTACCGCCGAGATATTCGGGATGCTGCACGCGACTATCAGGATTAGTAACACCAAAGAACTGCTGAATCTGCTCTTCCAGTCGGGAACCAGAGCGCGCCAAAGCTTCGTAGTACATCTGCGTAACAGTAGCAAGTCGCAGAGCAGAAATATCAATACCTGCAAACGGAGTACCAGACGCGGAAGTAGTACCAGCCCAAAGGTTGGCAGGATAAAGACGACGATTGACAGGAGTAGAAATAGCAGGGGGGAAATTACCAGAAGTCCAGGAACCGAGGTCAGAACCTACAATAACATCACTGTAGGAACTCTGCGCAGTACCCAAATGCAAATCATAGATGTTAGTACGTTCAGAAGAGCGATCACCAGTATTGAAAGCCATATAATTCTGATCATAAGGAGCGTTAGCAGAACGGAAAGTATGCAATTTACCAGCAAAAACAGGAAGGTCGCCAACAATAGGAACACGCACGTTGGGGCCTTTCTGCGGCGCGGGCAGACAGGAACTGAACATATCATGGAAACGGGAAGCCTTAAAAGGTTTACCACCTTTAACAACATCAGTCAAGTAATTATCGCCATTGCTCCCAATAGTAGCCTGATCAGTAACAGGGATATTCAAAGGATCAGTCAAATTCTGGTCACGGAAAAATTCGTTGCAAATCATCGCATAGGCGCGCAGAGGCAAAGAGATAGGAGCGCGGTCATCCGTAGCAGTAAGGTTAATACCAAGGGGCAAACCCATATAGTCCGCAATGGTGCCTTTCTGCCAACCACCGGTAGGGGGAATAGTAACGGGAACGGTATACTCAACAGTCTGAGCCCATGCAGATTGTGTGTTCTCACCCATGAACTCCTTCCAGTGTGTCCAAGTAAGCCGGGAAGGAACAAAGAAGAAGTAAGTATCCAGATACATATTGCTGTAAACAGGTGCAAGCATAGTCTGAAGCCGGGCAACCATAGCAGTATCGAGGGTAAGGGTATCACCGGGAAGAACTTCCTCAACCATAATCGGGATAAGATCACCAAAGTCAAAAGAAGTAGTATGACTGTAAGAACGGTCAAAAGTACTACGCTGATGATTCATAGAAGGAACAGTCGAGAAATGCGTATAGCTATTACGATTCATTCTTTAACCTCCTTATCAGGAACAGGGGTAGGGGTAACAGTCTCCGCAGGCGCAACAGAACGGGTCATTTTCTGAGCCCAATCAGGAGAACCAGCAGAACCAAACCACTTTGTAAAGTCGTTGTCAAACTGTGCGCGGATATCGTCAGACAGATGATCGAAGTAAGCACGGGCATCAATGATAGAATTGAGCATCTCAGCATGATTCTGAGGAAGACCAGTAAAATCGCCATAGAAGGGGTCGGAAACCATAAGGGGGGAAGCATCACCAGCAACCAGACGGGACAGGATGAAAGCCATATCAGTAAACTCTGCCCAACTATCAATGAGCTCTTGAGTATCCTGTTTGCCAGTCTCAACGAGAACAATCTCACCATTCTCATACGAAGGACTGTAGATTATACGGATACGAGAACCGGGCTCAGTGCCATAGCAAACAGCTTCCCGAATTTTAGAAAGTTTGGAACCAGAACGCATTATAAAAACCTCCTTTGCCCCTCCTATAAGGAGGGGCATAAACTCACTTGTAAAGATTGAGAGCATCAGAACCGGAAATAACCAGCTTCGGGGGATTCACAGGAGTAACAACACCGGAATCGGGATCAAACGTAGCAACATGGTACAGGTCATAGTCACCAGCCGCGAAGGACAAACCGGGGTTCGACATACCATAAGCGAAATTGCGACATGCAGTAGAATCATTGGAATCGGTGAGCGGAGCACCAAAACCATTGTACTTATCACGCATAGAGTAAAGATTCATCATTTATCAATTACCTCCATAAATAAACCTTGTAACAGTTGTTTGAGTAATGCGGGATTGTGACGACAAACAGGATAATGTTTGCAGGACTGGTAACAACGTTGAAAATCAGGACTACAGGGATAAAAACGGATTAAAGCTTTCAGTCGGGGTCTTGACATTGATAAAATCGAAAGCCTCAGTCAGGGTCTTGAAAGATCCCAACTCAAAATCATTCCAGTCGTAGCAAGAAATATCCTTGAAAGAACCGCAATCGTATCCATCTTCATCAATTACGCGACCTTTGGAAAGGACAACATAACCTCTCCGAAATTCATAAGTTTTACTAGTAGTAGTGTAAACACCCATAATACACACACCTTTCAGATTAGATTTAGAAGCGGACGCCTCCGCGATGGAGGACAGCGTGGATGTTGACCGCTTTCGTTTTGGCGGCAGTCTGTCTAAAAACTTTACGGTCAAGCCGGGGACGAACGTAAGAACGTTTCATAACAACCTCCTTTCAAACAGTATCACAATGGTGAAAGTTACGCATTCGGGAAACATAGACCTCTTCCTGCTGCCGTAGGTAATCCATGTACGAAAGATCAGTTTGCGATTGAATATACTCCATACGACCTGCTGCTAGCTTCCTCCTCGTTGTCATTATTGTATCATATAACTCAGGATTTATCAAGTGAATTTTTTGCAAAACACAACGAGGAATTCCAATTTCATGTACTTCTTGACCATCCGAAACAAAAGCCTTGTGATTATCCCAGTCAAGACCGAAGTAATCAGAACCAATGCCGGGACGAAGAGACATACGATTGAAGGGAGGAACACGACCTTTATAGAACAAACTGGAATCGTCAGAAAGAAACTGCTTTTTGAGAATATAGCGACCAACATAACAGAAAGTAGAGTAATTCGCGACAGCATACCGAACAGCGCCGAGGCTCCAAATAGAATCCAGCGTGGGACTTTCATAAAGAGGATCGCCAGTACGAGAGGACGAGCTATAAACAAAAGAATCGGGAAAATCAGAAAGCGTTGCACCAAAAATTATAGCATGGTAATGAGGGCGAAAAGTTGTAGTTCCATACTCACCAGCAAGGTAAAAGCGGATTTTGAGACCCAAACCATCATAGTATTTACGAAGCCGCTTCATGAACAAAGACGGATCACGCTTATCGAGAGTATAGCGATACGTATGGTCAGTACACATGACGGAATGAATATGAGCGTCATCATAAGTCAAAGTGAGGAACAAAGCGGACTTACTGCGGATACCTTCACGAGCAGAAGCATATTCAAGGAGCATTCTTTCAGCCCAGTAACGCGAACGATCAAGGCGACAACCTTCACATTTACCGCAGGGTACAGGTAGGAGCTGAGCGTCATCAACACCGGAATAAGCATCCAACTTTCCTTGAGACAATTTACCAACGAAGCGTGAAAACTCACCACGAACCATAAGAACTCCGTTAGGATGATAGCAAGACATTTATAAACCTCCTTTTCAAACGGTGTCACCTAGCGCATATACTATCAAGGCACGTATATGCGCTAGGAACCTCCCCCCATACGGGGGGACATTTCACGATCCTGAAAACGCCATTTTCGCGGACAGTGTCCGCAGGTCATGGACTGACAAATTTATCAATCATGTTGCCAATGGCACCACCGATCATCTGGCCGGCCTTAGTCGTACCATAAGAACGACCGAAAATACCACCAAAGACAGCGCCAATATTGGAAAGAGCCTGATAGTATTTGTGAGCATTGGCAGCGGAAGAAACGCCAGTGGACACAGTACCATCACCAGCAACACGGGCACCATAAACACCGGAGCCGCCGCCGAGACCTTGGGCGGCGAGAATAGGATTGAGGCCAGCAGACTGCAAATCCTTGACTGCACGCTGATACGTGGTATTGGCAAGAGCTTCCTGATAGGCTGTCGCAGTATCCATACCATACTGCTGGGCAATATCAGCATTGACATACGACTGAGCAGGAACAGGGGTACCACCATCAGACGGCACAGCAGCAACGGGCGAAAAAGAGCCAGAGCCAGAACCGGAAGACGGCGGAACAGTACCTTCCAGACCAAGAAAACCTTTGACAGTAGGCTCCTGGGAAAGCTGCTCACCAGCTTGCTTTGCAGACCAAATAGCGCCGTTAACCTTAGATTGTGCGGTATCGACCAAATCAGAAACAGGTGCAGCCAAAGAACCAAGTACACCAGAAGGCTTACCAGTAACCTTACCAGAAGGAGAAACACCTGCCGCATCATAGGTAGCCTGCCGAAGGGTATCAGCAAACTTTGTATTATTCAACCAGTGGTTGAAAGTCTGAGAGCCAGTCGAATAAAACTTACCAGAGCTACCAACTGCAAAACCATTATCATGTGTAGTACGATTAAGATTATCAAACAAACCCATATAAACCTCCATATGGACAAATGTCCATTTCCGCGCAGATCGGCAAATGCTACGACTGCGCGGTAAACATTATTAAAGTGTAACAAAAAAAACAAAAAAAGTAAAAGGGGGATAAGTTTAGCACTCAAGCGCCGTGCAGGCTTTCAGGACGCGGGGTGCGGCGCTCGGTAGAAGGGCGCACTCCACATGGTTTACCACAATCGCGTTGCTCATGTGGAAAACCCGTGGAGAGCTTGGGCAAAATGAACAACATTACACCACGTAAACCTATGATATAGAGAGAAAATTATATATTTTGTATAAATGCCTCTGTGAGGCTCTCAGAGGGCGCAGGAGCGGCGAAAATGAAGGGGGTCATACTGTATGACCCCCAAAAAATGAATTTTTACTTGCAAACGTTTTATAGTTTTTGTCCGTGGGTCATGGACTTGCAAGTTTTCTTGCAGGTAGCATCAGAACTGACCAACCATGCCGGGAACGGAATACATAGGCATGACGCGAGACCAACGAGCACTGAAATAGAAATCAGCAAACAGCTGATTGGAAACAGAAGAGGTCACAGCGAGGGCACGGTCTACGTTGCGCTTATCTTCACGAATCCAGCCATCAGACAGATAGGGAGCCGAATCATAATTATCGGCAAGCGTCCAGTGAGAAAGATTGCCAGACACATCCGCGCGAAGCTCACCGGATACGCGATTGTGACCGACACGGTACTGAACCCACGCTTCGTTGTAGCCGAAGATAGAGGTAGCATCATCACCTTTAGCGTAGATTTCATAACGGTAAATGGGCTGTTCACCAATACGGGCAAACATGGGGTTATAATAATCAAACTTGTGCTTGCGTGTCCACATACGGTCAAGCCCTTGTCCATAAATGTGATCGTAGCGAGCAACACAGACGCCGATTACGTAGCCGTTTTCGGTAAAAGATTTAGTAAAGGAGCTGGAACGATTGGAGGTAACAGACTGTGCACCAACATCACCAAGGAAGTCAACGTCAGTCTGAGCGGTATTAGTAACCTCGTGGACATTGATAGCAATACGGTTACCGCCGAGATATTCGGGATGCTGCACGCGACTATCAGGATTAGTAACACCAAAGAACTGCTGAATCTGCTCTTCCAGTCGGGAACCAGAGCGCGCCAAAGCTTCGTAGTACATCTGCGTAACAGTAGCAAGTCGCAGAGCAGAAATATCAATACCTGCAAACGGAGTACCAGACGCGGAAGTAGTACCAGCCCAAAGGTTGGCAGGATAAAGACGACGATTGACAGGAGTAGAAATAGCAGGGGGGAAATTACCAGAAGTCCAGGAACCGAGGTCAGAACCTACAATAACATCACTGTAGGAACTCTGCGCAGTACCCAAATGCAAATCATAGATGTTAGTACGTTCAGAAGAGCGATCACCAGTATTGAAAGCCATATAATTCTGATCATAAGGAGCGTTAGCAGAACGGAAAGTATGCAATTTACCAGCAAAAACAGGAAGGTCGCCAACAATAGGAACACGCACGTTGGGGCCTTTCTGCGGCGCGGGCAGACAGGAACTGAACATATCATGGAAACGGGAAGCCTTAAAAGGTTTACCACCTTTAACAACATCAGTCAAGTAATTATCGCCATTGCTCCCAATAGTAGCCTGATCAGTAACAGGGATATTCAAAGGATCAGTCAAATTCTGGTCACGGAAAAATTCGTTGCAAATCATCGCATAGGCGCGCAGAGGCAAAGAGATAGGAGCGCGGTCATCCGTAGCAGTAAGGTTAATACCAAGGGGCAAACCCATATAGTCCGCAATGGTGCCTTTCTGCCAACCACCGGTAGGGGGAATAGTAACGGGAACGGTATACTCAACAGTCTGAGCCCATGCAGATTGTGTGTTCTCACCCATGAACTCCTTCCAGTGTGTCCAAGTAAGCCGGGAAGGAACAAAGAAGAAGTAAGTATCCAGATACATATTGCTGTAAACAGGTGCAAGCATAGTCTGAAGCCGGGCAACCATAGCAGTATCGAGGGTAAGGGTATCACCGGGAAGAACTTCCTCAACCATAATCGGGATAAGATCACCAAAGTCAAAAGAAGTAGTATGACTGTAAGAACGGTCAAAAGTACTACGCTGATGATTCATAGAAGGAACAGTCGAGAAATGCGTATAGCTATTACGATTCATTCTTTAACCTCCTTATCAGGAACAGGGGTAGGGGTAACAGTCTCCGCAGGCGCAACAGAACGGGTCATTTTCTGAGCCCAATCAGGAGAACCAGCAGAACCAAACCACTTTGTAAAGTCGTTGTCAAACTGTGCGCGGATATCGTCAGACAGATGATCGAAGTAAGCACGGGCATCAATGATAGAATTGAGCATCTCAGCATGATTCTGAGGAAGACCAGTAAAATCGCCATAGAAGGGGTCGGAAACCATAAGGGGGGAAGCATCACCAGCAACCAGACGGGACAGGATGAAAGCCATATCAGTAAACTCTGCCCAACTATCAATGAGCTCTTGAGTATCCTGTTTGCCAGTCTCAACGAGAACAATCTCACCATTCTCATACGAAGGACTGTAGATTATACGGATACGAGAACCGGGCTCAGTGCCATAGCAAACAGCTTCCCGAATTTTAGAAAGTTTGGAACCAGAACGCATTATAAAAACCTCCTTTGCCCCTCCTATAAGGAGGGGCATAAACTCACTTGTAAAGATTGAGAGCATCAGAACCGGAAATAACCAGCTTCGGGGGATTCACAGGAGTAACAACACCGGAATCGGGATCAAACGTAGCAACATGGTACAGGTCATAGTCACCAGCCGCGAAGGACAAACCGGGGTTCGACATACCATAAGCGAAATTGCGACATGCAGTAGAATCATTGGAATCGGTGAGCGGAGCACCAAAACCATTGTACTTATCACGCATAGAGTAAAGATTCATCATTTATCAATTACCTCCATAAATAAACCTTGTAACAGTTGTTTGAGTAATGCGGGATTGTGACGACAAACAGGATAATGTTTGCAGGACTGGTAACAACGTTGAAAATCAGGACTACAGGGATAAAAACGGATTAAAGCTTTCAGTCGGGGTCTTGACATTGATAAAATCGAAAGCCTCAGTCAGGGTCTTGAAAGATCCCAACTCAAAATCATTCCAGTCGTAGCAAGAAATATCCTTGAAAGAACCGCAATCGTATCCATCTTCATCAATTACGCGACCTTTGGAAAGGACAACATAACCTCTCCGAAATTCATAAGTTTTACTAGTAGTAGTGTAAACACCCATAATACACACACCTTTCAGATTAGATTTAGAAGCGGACGCCTCCGCGATGGAGGACAGCGTGGATGTTGACCGCTTTCGTTTTGGCGGCAGTCTGTCTAAAAACTTTACGGTCAAGCCGGGGACGAACGTAAGAACGTTTCATAACAACCTCCTTTCAAACAGTATCACAATGGTGAAAGTTACGCATTCGGGAAACATAGACCTCTTCCTGCTGCCGTAGGTAATCCATGTACGAAAGATCAGTTTGCGATTGAATATACTCCATACGACCTGCTGCTAGCTTCCTCCTCGTTGTCATTATTGTATCATATAACTCAGGATTTATCAAGTGAATTTTTTGCAAAACACAACGAGGAATTCCAATTTCATGTACTTCTTGACCATCCGAAACAAAAGCCTTGTGATTATCCCAGTCAAGACCGAAGTAATCAGAACCAATGCCGGGACGAAGAGACATACGATTGAAGGGAGGAACACGACCTTTATAGAACAAACTGGAATCGTCAGAAAGAAACTGCTTTTTGAGAATATAGCGACCAACATAACAGAAAGTAGAGTAATTCGCGACAGCATACCGAACAGCGCCGAGGCTCCAAATAGAATCCAGCGTGGGACTTTCATAAAGAGGATCGCCAGTACGAGAGGACGAGCTATAAACAAAAGAATCGGGAAAATCAGAAAGCGTTGCACCAAAAATTATAGCATGGTAATGAGGGCGAAAAGTTGTAGTTCCATACTCACCAGCAAGGTAAAAGCGGATTTTGAGACCCAAACCATCATAGTATTTACGAAGCCGCTTCATGAACAAAGACGGATCACGCTTATCGAGAGTATAGCGATACGTATGGTCAGTACACATGACGGAATGAATATGAGCGTCATCATAAGTCAAAGTGAGGAACAAAGCGGACTTACTGCGGATACCTTCACGAGCAGAAGCATATTCAAGGAGCATTCTTTCAGCCCAGTAACGCGAACGATCAAGGCGACAACCTTCACATTTACCGCAGGGTACAGGTAGGAGCTGAGCGTCATCAACACCGGAATAAGCATCCAACTTTCCTTGAGACAATTTACCAACGAAGCGTGAAAACTCACCACGAACCATAAGAACTCCGTTAGGATGATAGCAAGACATTTATAAACCTCCTTTTCAAACGGTGTCACCTAGCGCATATACTATCAAGGCACGTATATGCGCTAGGAACCTCCCCCCATACGGGGGGACATTTCACGATCCTGAAAACGCCATTTTCGCGGACAGTGTCCGCAGGTCATGGACTGACAAATTTATCAATCATGTTGCCAATGGCACCACCGATCATCTGGCCGGCCTTAGTCGTACCATAAGAACGACCGAAAATACCACCAAAGACAGCGCCAATATTGGAAAGAGCCTGATAGTATTTGTGAGCATTGGCAGCGGAAGAAACGCCAGTGGACACAGTACCATCACCAGCAACACGGGCACCATAAACACCGGAGCCGCCGCCGAGACCTTGGGCGGCGAGAATAGGATTGAGGCCAGCAGACTGCAAATCCTTGACTGCACGCTGATACGTGGTATTGGCAAGAGCTTCCTGATAGGCTGTCGCAGTATCCATACCATACTGCTGGGCAATATCAGCATTGACATACGACTGAGCAGGAACAGGGGTACCACCATCAGACGGCACAGCAGCAACGGGCGAAAAAGAGCCAGAGCCAGAACCGGAAGACGGCGGAACAGTACCTTCCAGACCAAGAAAACCTTTGACAGTAGGCTCCTGGGAAAGCTGCTCACCAGCTTGCTTTGCAGACCAAATAGCGCCGTTAACCTTAGATTGTGCGGTATCGACCAAATCAGAAACAGGTGCAGCCAAAGAACCAAGTACACCAGAAGGCTTACCAGTAACCTTACCAGAAGGAGAAACACCTGCCGCATCATAGGTAGCCTGCCGAAGGGTATCAGCAAACTTTGTATTATTCAACCAGTGGTTGAAAGTCTGAGAGCCAGTCGAATAAAACTTACCAGAGCTACCAACTGCAAAACCATTATCATGTGTAGTACGATTAAGATTATCAAACAAACCCATATAAACCTCCATATGGACAAATGTCCATTTCCGCGCAGATCGGCAAATGCTACGACTGCGCGGTAAACATTATTAAAGTGTAACAAAAAAAACAAAAAAAGTAAAAGGGGGATAAGTTTAGCACTCAAGCGCCGTGCAGGCTTTCAGGACGCGGGGTGCGGCGCTCGGTAGAAGGGCGCACTCCACATGGTTTACCACAATCGCGTTGCTCATGTGGAAAACCCGTGGAGAGCTTGGG